ACTCAGAAACCTATAATATGTCAAATATTTAATACAATCCAAATTCAGACCTGTATCAAGCTTGAATATTGTGTCCATTTTTGCCCCAACTGTTCAGGGTTGGACCCCTGCGGGGCGTATCCAGCTGCGCTCAGCGAAGCAGTTTATTCGTTTCCGTTCTCTTACTTTAGTTTGCCTCATCCAAATGTTATGAAACTTATATGCAATGCTTATTACCACAAAACAAAGATCAAGTTTGAATTTTGGTGGCATCACTTTTACTGTTCTAGAGTTATGCCCTTTACAAATGGAAAAATTGCTGAATTTTTCGTTTCCATTCTCTCACTTTAGTTTGCCTCAACCAAATGTTATGAAACTTATGCACAATGCTAATTACCACAAAACACAGATCAAGTTTGAATTTTGGTGGGGTCACTTTTACAGTTTTAGAGTAATGCCTCTTTACAAATGGAAAAATTGCTGAATTTTTTGTTTCCGTTCTCTCACTTTAGTTTGCCTCAACCAAATGTTATGAAACTTATGCACAATGCTTATTACCACAAAACTCAGATCAAGTACAAATTTGGGTAGCGTCACTTTTACAGTTCTTGAGTTATGTCCCTTTATAATTTTATATGCAAGCGGGGGCATCATCTGTGTCCCAAATTCCCATTTATTTTCTATTGTTATTTTAGTTATTCAGTTGCCAACTCGCCCCACTTATAAAAAAGGGTTAAATGAAAAGTAGTTTAATCTACACAATCTCCCCAACTCGCCCTGCCATGTGCATTTGACTTATGACAACATGATGAAAAAGGGTTAAATGAAAAGTAGTTTAATTTAATCTACGCAATCTCCCCAACTCGGCCCACTTATGAAATAGGGTTAAATGAAAAGTAGTTTAATCTACACAATCTCCCCAACTGTTGGGGAGATTGTGTAGATTAAACTACTTTTCATTTAACCCTTTTTCATAAGTGGGGTAAGTTGGTGAAAAAGTGGGGCGATTTGGTGTGGGGCTAAATGGCAGTGGGGCGAGTTGTCTTGCTTCCCCTACGGAACAAACGCTAATTCTAGTTTAACCTGCATAATGACAACACTTGATGAATTTTAATAGTGCAGGGATACAGGCTGTCCCCTCTGTCTGATAAATGAAGTCATAAAGGCACACATTATTGACGAACTTCTCCAGTGAAGGACATTATAAACTCGAAAGTAGTATATTGGTATTTAGGTTTTTATGTACCTTTGCCGATATTTTTTTGAAAGTACATATATCTTAAAATTCATTAAAACATTTTGAAATTAATTGCTTGTATTGGTATTTACGTTTTTATATATGCATGTACGTGATATTTTTTTGAAAAAGCATATTTAAAAATTCATGAATTTTAAAAAAAATTAATTGCTTTTTTTCAAGCAATGATTGGCTTCCTATACTAATTTGGATTAATATCCTGGAGGGTATTGCACCAGATTATCATGAGATGAAAATTAGTCCTTTATTTAAAGCTTATTTTTCACTGACATGTTCTCACTGGCTTCACTGTTACATTTGTTTTTATTTAGAATTAATTTTAATGATTGTAATGCTAATGAGGTATAATTTAAACATGTATGATGGCTGATGGATTGTTGAATTGTCTTTGGTGGTTTAATGATGAAATTTATTTTTCATAATAAATTAGTCAGCTTGGATTGAGTTAATATACAGCATGAATGAATTGTAAGACTTGTAAGGAAATTTATATCAAAGCTTGGCTCCTTTGATCTCATGTGTGTTTATCTGCTGTTTGGTCGGGTTGTTGTCTCTTTGACACATTCCCCATTTCCATTCTCAATTTTATTTCAGTGACAATTTTTTATGTATATGAAAATAGATTATGGAATCAATTTTTCCATAAAGTATATTCATACAAATAAGTTGCTAAAACATGTAAAAAGAAAAGAAAGAAGAGAAAAAAAAACAAAATTCCCCCCCTAATGATATATTTTGTGATATGAAATATTAAAATTCGGTTTAAAAAGTCAGTTCCATGTCAAATATAATATCTCATTGTTTGCTGATTCCAAAAATATATGGTTTCTATACATTTTTATGTCCCCGCCCTAGCAGAGGGGGCATTAAGTTTTACCCTTGTCTGTCCGTACGTACCTATACACAATCGAGTTTTTAATCCCCCAGCCAAAGCGGAGGGGGCATTAAGTTTTACCCTTGTCTGTCTGTCCGTACGTCCCAAAATTGGTTTCTGTTCTCTAACTTAAGCTTGCCTCAACCAAATGTTATCAAACTTATACACAATGCTTATTACCACAAAACACAGATCAAGTTTGAATTTTGTTGGCGTCACTTTAACTGTTCTAGAGTTATGCCTCTTTATAACTTTATATGATATGCAAGCGGGGGCATCATCTGTGTCCAATGGACACATTCCGATTTATTTTTTTAAATAAGGGAGGTAATTAGTTACTTCCGGTCTGAAGAATGTCATTTCCGGTATTATTTGATAGTTAATTTGACACTGCTTTCAAACATATACTGTTCGCTATACTTTTACTTGAAATACATGAAATAAGTACAAAAAATAGCCACTTCCGGTTTACACAAGGTCACTTCCGGTTTGATTTTTCTAGGCTATGTCTTGTAACCTAATGCATAATGTCCTATGGGTTTATGATGTCTAAATATGAATTTAAAGCAAAGGTCAAAATCTAGAACATCAAATTTACCTATGACCTTGACCTCAATTTCAAGGTCATAAACCAAGGACCTCAAATCAAAAGACCCTAGGTCTTTACTGTATATTGTTCATGAGTCATCATACATGTAATATTAAATATACGAGGGGCTAAAACTCTAATAAAATGTTTACGTATCCTTTCAACTATAATTTACGTGTTACAACATGTCGCAACTAACAATTCTGTAAAAATATTTTGTGGATATCTTCTTAGATGTCAAAAAATAAGTGATAACAAGCCATAATCAAAATTTTGAACATGAACCTGACCTATGACCTTGACCTTATTTTCTTTTTTATGGACCAAGGACATCAAATCAAAAGACCCTAGGTCTCTATCACTTATAGTTTGCCAGTTACAAATACATTTCACTTATATCAAATACAGAAGGGGAAATAACTCTCATATGGAATCTCTATACGGCTTTGGTCAAAATTAAACAAAACATCCTGAGGATATAATGAGCAGTATGGAAAAATAAATTTGTCGGTTTCTTATACGTTTGCGAAATATTAGAAATAACAAGAAAAACAGTGTTCGGGGAGATAATTCTTACATGGGAAAGTATTGGGTTAAGCGCGGTGTCAGTTTTAAAAGCGTATAAACTGTTTGATATCATATTCCAAATATCTAAGCGACATCTTGCAAAACAACAAAACAGCGAAGGAAAAAAATTAGGTGGAAGAAAAAAAATAATGATCAGAACAAAAGCAATAGGTCTTTCCACGGAAAAGTGGAAAGACCTAATGAAAACAGATAACTTTGTCTATGGTTGTTTTATATTAAATACTTTGAATTCCTGTTCACTTCAGTGCAAATCAGAGGAAAATAATTATCTGGTAGCAGCAATTCAACATAGATATTGGATGAAATTTTCAACACAGACTTTAACATACTCTATTGAAAAAAATACATAATACCATTTTACAACAAGATAAAGTAAGGGCTAAATGAAGCAGGGCGAACAGACCCTGATTCATGGGGAAGTGACCAGGTTTGTTGCAGTCTCAAAATGTGTTTACCTTTAAGCACATTATTCATCAATAAGTCACCATATCAAAACTCCAAATGATTTCACTATATATAAAACCTCAATCAAAATTTTATATATTGATAAAATAATTTGTCACAGAGGTCGAAATACATCTTATTTTTACTTGTCCTCATTTACCATGCATGTTTTCTAGTTATCACAGATTTCGTTAAACTTTTGACCGGATAAGAGAAATGTCTGACATGTCTGATGGCATATTACAAAAGTATTTGTTGTTTAATGTTGGTCATGTTGGTAGTGCAAGTGTGGCAAAATTCTAAATCATGTAAATAGCAACAAAGTTAATAAGAATTTTGTTTTCTATGGGACACATTAGAAGCAAACCAGTATGGAGGACTATAAGTAAATAGAAATGTTGTCGTTCATGGGGATACTTATAAAAAACATCTTCATCAATAATTCAGTGATTCAATGCAATGTCATTCTAAAGAAATCAAATTGTTTGGTAGATAAATTTTATATGAACTCAGTGATTGACTTGCAAAACACATATTTTACTTGTCATGGCATGTGGGAGAGTGCCTATTGTTGAACCTTGGTACAATAAATGTACATGTATATATATCATGTATATGTGCTGCACTCAGAATAATTATGAATAATATACTAAATATACAGACAAGTATTACAATACATAACATACTAGTATTTAATCCTATAACAAGCAAAATTCATGTTCATACATGTTACAGCTAATATTCTCACAAGTGGTTAATAGAAGGTACATGTATGATAAGGTGGTATATAGAAGGTACATGTATGATAAGGTGGTATATATATAGAAGGTACATGTATGATAAGGTGGTATATAGAAGGTACATGTATGATAAAGCAACTTATTTGGCCCAACATATTGAATTTCGTTTTGAAATTATAAAATTGTTATTAATTAACTTGATTTTTTAAGGCACATAAACCTATTTTCAAAATTCATGGGTAATTGTAAGATAATGGCTCCCCTCCTTTAATTAATTTTGATTTTAACATGAGCTGTTTAAAAAATACCTGATGTTGAAATCAAAAATATTGTCATTTAAAGATAAGAAGTCACCTCAACTTAATCATGTTTATCAGCTCTAATAAAGATTTCTAGTAATTAAAGTGTATCCCGATAAAATTCAAATTAGGCCAATTGCAAGCTAGAAAATTGGTTATAAAAACTTGAATGTTATATGTTGTAAGATTTTGATATTTCTGAAATTGTTTTTAATTTTATTTTTTCTAGTTGTATTTTGATGATGTAAAATGTAGTCTGCTGTCAGTTGAAGAATGCAGGTCATTGGGGTTTGCACCAAGTTTGGTATGTTCACAGTGTAAAGAGTTGGACCAGTTTAATCTGTCTCAGTTAACAGAATCATGTACCAATTGTTGCCAGAAGGATGAAAGTGACAGTAATACATTAAAAGTAAGTTTTTGATGAATAAATATATTACAGAAGTACAAATTAAATCCTTAGATTTATATTTAGATAGGATGTCAGACTGGGCATCCCAGACACCAATACATTGTAACTGCTAGTCTATTATGGCTGATATGAATACGTCCTTCAATCCTTTAACAGCTATTTATTTGATAAAAACTTCCCAAACTTTAAATATAACTTGAAATGAACATCAACAATATTTTTATACGCCCGTCAATTTTTGACGGGACGTATTATGGTATACAAATGTCCGGTGTCTGTCCGTCTGTCTGTCCGGCGTAAACATGTCGCACCGTAACTTGAGAATGACTTATCCAAATTTCATGAAACTTAACATAGTTGTTTCTTATGATGGTCAAACGATCTGTATACTTTTTGGTGAAAATAAGGTTAAAACTTTTTGAGCTACGGGACTTAGTAACTAAAACAGGTGTGTGTTTTTTTTCACATGTCGCGCCGTATCTCAAAAACAATTTATGATTATTGCTTAAAACTTTACACACTTCTTAGTTATATTAATCTTAAGATCTGTATACTTTTTGGTGATGATTCAAAATTTTATTTTAGAGATATTGAGTATTTTGTTAAAAAAGGGGGAGGGGTTTTTCACATGTCGCGACGTATCTCAAAAACAGTTTATGATTATTGCTTAAAACTTTACACACTTCTTAGTTATACTAACCTTAAGATCTGTATACTTTTTGGTGATGATTCAAAATTTTACTTTTTGAGTTATTCAGTATTTTGTAAAAAAAGGGGGAGGGGTTTTTCACATCGCGCAGTATCTCAAAAACGATTTATGATTATTGCTTAAAATTTTACACACTTCTTAGTTATATTAATCTAAAGATCTGTATACTTTTTGGTTTTGATTCAAAATTTTATTTTTGAGATATTGATTTTTTTTTTTTTTAATGGGGGGTTTTCACATGTCGCGCCGTATCTCAAAAATGATTTATGATTATTGCTTAAAATTTTACACACTTCTTAGTTATATTAATCTAAACATGCTAAAGATCTGTATACTTTTTGGTTTTGATTCAAAATTTTATTTTAGAGATATTGAGTTTTTTGTAAAAAAAAAGGGGTTTTTTCGCATGTCACGCCGTATGTCAGAAACTATTTATGCTTATTGCATAAAAATTCACACACAAGACGATGGGCGTATCATGCGCTCATGGCGCAGCTGTTTATTAATCGATTTCAACAGTGCAATGCTTTAAAAGAACTAGCTCACAGATTGTCTGATTCAGAACATGTGATCTTTACTAGATTTTTAAAAGCAAAAGAATATCTTCACTTTATTGGAAATATTATTCAACATTTATGACTTTGCATGCATTTCAAAATATATAGCAGATTTATTGTTTTAGTTTTGTTTTGAAGTCTGCATAAAACAACGTGCACTGAAACATAATTAATATAATTATGATTAAAAAAAAAATCAAATTCCTGGAACAAATGAAACCGTGTTTGTTTTGTTTATATAATTTAGTAGTCAAATATTGTTTATATAATTTAAAAGTCAAATAATTCATGTCACTTTTGGCCGAAAAGGTATTATAATTTGTGTTTATTTATTCTCTATAGGTACATCCATATGCAGAACTCCATATCTGTGGATGAAAATTGGGGCGGTACCCACAAGTGCAAGGTTTGTTTGATTTTATAAGTACATCTTATTCCTTTTTTTATTATTATGGATTGATCGATCCTTTGTTAGTCCCCTACCGACGAAGTTGAAGGGGACTTAATTAGGTTTGCACTCTGTCTGTCTGTCTGTCTGTCTGTCCATCCGTCAGTCTGGCAAATCAGTTTTCCACCCTTTTTTTCCTTGTGCTTGAAGATATTGATTTGATATTTGATATATTGTTTTATCATGACAAGTTACAGATCAAGTTTGAATTTTGTTCCGGTCTGATAATTTTGTGCAGAGTAATGGTACTTGGACTTAAAGAATTCACTCAAATATTCAGTTTTCTGCCCTTTTTTTCGTCATGCTTGAAGATACATGTATTGATTTAATAACGGTACATTGTTTTATCATGACAAGTTACAGATCAAGTTTGAATTTTGTTCCGGTGTGATGATTTTGTGCAGAGTTATGATCCTTGGACATAGAAAATTAACTCAAATAATCAGTTTTCCACACTTTTTTGTCATGCTTGAAGATATTGATTTGATAATTTGTATATAGTTTTAATATGACAAGCTACAGACCAAGTTCGAATTTTGTTTCGGTCCGATGATTTTGTGCAGAGTTATGGTCCTTGGACTTAGAAAATTCACTTAAATAATCAGTTTTCTGCACTTTTTTTCGTCATGCTTGAAGATATTGACTTGATATTTGCTATGTAGTTTACACCATGACAAGTTATAGATCAAGTTAGCATTTTGTTCCAGTACAATTAATTTTTAACTGTTTCATCCATGATATCAAAAACTGGCTGTTTCAGGCTAAAATACATTCTGGGGAGACATTTTTAGTCCCTTTTACATGTTTATTGGTAGGGAAATAGATTTATGATTATTTTTCAGATATCTTTGATGATATTTCATTGAAGAAATATATAACACAATTTAATGACATTTGCGTTTAGTATGTTAAGGTATTTATTTCAAAAACTCAGCATTTCTTTATTGTTTGTACAAAACCAAACTCACAGCATTGGGTCCCCATGGCATCTTGATGAAATTCTGAATCTGAACTATTATAAAATATCACATAAAGGTCAATAGTACTAGTTCATGTATTATATTCATGTATAGTTATATCATATTTCATTGAGACTTTCCCATAATATTGTAAAACACAGTTCTTATACAATTAGATCATGTTGACCCATATTTTATGCCTGTTTGCAGTTTTTCTGTAGTCTATTTAGACAACCAAGAATCATCTTAAGATTCGCATGCAAGATTTGTTAATTGATCAGAATACATGTACATTCATAGTATAATTTGAATAATCCTACATAGCATTTTAAAGCTCAGATTTAATGTCTTTTAATCCAAAATTTAAGAAAAATTGTACATCAGAATGATTTAATTTATTTTGTAGCATTTGTGAAGAGTGACCGCCCAAATCAGTTCCCTGGCTTAACAATCCGTTATATCAGAGGAGCAGATCCCATGATAAAACTCCTAGATGAGAGTAAAAATGTTGTGGAGACCCTAGGTATAGAAAAATGGGATACAGATACTGTAGAAGCTTTTTTCAAAGAAAGATTAAAGGATTAATATGTTAGCATGATGTGTATTAAGGGTTGAATCTGTGACAGTATGAGAGATGGTGTGAAAATTTGTAATAGTTTATGTATATTTTGTTAATGTATTGTTCATTCCAAATATGTCAAAAAATCATTTGTATCTTTCAGTATCTGTTTTCATCAGCATTCTTGGAAAAAAAATTTTTTACAGTACACTCAGCATTATTTGCAGAAATGAAAAAGTTTTATAAGTTTAAAATTATTGAAGTGAGATTTTGTGGCATGAATTAATACAACATATTTTTTTCTATTCATTTAATCTCTAACCTACACCTTACAACTTACAGTAAAAGTAATGAAACAAAATCATACCACACATGCCATTTTAATCTAACCACCAGAGTTTTAATTTCAATTAGAGGGAATGAATGACCATGACAATGTTGAAAAACTCAACAGTTTCAGTTCACACTTTCAGTGCAATAATTCAAATACATAAATCAAAAAATAAAATGGCAACAAAATATGCTTATATAGCCATACACCTGAATTCAGTTGAGTATGTATTTTATCAGGACCATGTGATAATTCATCTATTTGGGACAAACAAATTTAAAATGTTGATTTTGAGAATGTTCTGAATTACTGTCAGTTTACTTGAAATTCTGTGGAGGAAAAGACGAAATTTTGTTTAAAATGTAAATTATTTGCATTTTTTAATTGAAACAGAATGTCATGAATGTTATGTTATACAACTTCAAACTTTATTTGGCCTTTTTAACTTTTTTATACAAAATTTTAAGCCTGGTATCTATGATGAGTTTATTTATAGTTTTGAACCATTTGTACTTTTTGTTTAACTTATTACAGTTGCGCTAATTGCCATCTTATCTGATTAAGCATAGAATTGCTTCATAGAATGTAAACTTCCAAAAGCTATATTTTTTTGGCATAATGTTTTTTTCAAAGATACATTGCTTTGTGAATTATTTATAATTTATTAATGTGTAAAGCAAGAAGATCCACTTAAAAAATGAGTGCTTTCTATGCAATAAAAAGTGGAAATAAAAAAATAAATACAACAGATATGTATAACAGTTAAAGGGACATACATGACAGACCACTTTAAAATAACATTTTCTAGCATTTGACCCCTGATATTTGAATGTATCATAAATAATACTTTTTGTTTTTTAAACACACAAAATCAGCAGTCAAAGAAAAATAATTGATATTATATCTGGGTAAAAGATGAGTGGTTAAGGTTCTTTCATTTGGATATATATTTGCTTTATATAATTATTGCTGATTTATTAGTTGCGCAGTGAAGTCATCATTTCTTTGATTCATAAGAAGTGCCTTCATAAGTTCATGGTATTGTTGTTAGATAAATGTTTTGTATTTTTGTGTGTTATGTTAACCTCTAGTATGAAGGTCTAACAATAAAGCCTTGTGGCATGTTTGACTGGAGAGGATAGAAGGAATTACACAATACAGGAAAATATGAAATGTTTGTCTTATGTCTAATACATGAGGCCAAAATATAAGATATAATAAAAGTATTTTGATAAATGGGTTTTTGTTTTTACCTTATTCACATTGTATGCCATTATGTCATTGTCAAAAATTTAAGAGGAAAAGTGGAAGGCCATAAAAATCCCCGAGGTACACGAAACCTGAACTTGAATACCCAGAATGATACAGATCAGTATAATTTAAACGTAGGAAATTGGATCAGAAAAAAAAATTAAATCATTTTGCTTGACTGTATCATTATGTGCATTAACCATTACTGTGATTGTCCCAATCATTTTGCAGGACATGAATTAGTGTCGGTGTTGCATAGCCATTGCCTTGGTACTGGCATGATTTAATTCACAATTTTCTATTTAAAACAGTGTTACTGAACTATAGAAGGGAATTTTGGTCCCCTATATGTGTTTATTGAAACTTGTTTTCAAATTTTTTTTACAGTCTTTTTGTAGCTCACCGTTCCGAAGGAACTGTGAGCTTTAGCCATCACTTGGCGTCCGACTTTGTCCGTCGTCGTCGTCCATCTGGTGTAAACTATTTCAAACATCTTCTCCTCTGAAACTACTGAACCAATTCCAACCAAACTTAAGCTGAATGATCCTTAGGGTATCTAGAAAAAAGTTTGTGTTTTATTTTCTGTTTCGTAAGAAAACATGGCCACCACGGCTAAAAATAGAACATAGGGGTAAAATGCAGTTTTTGGCTTATATCTAAAAAGCAAAGCAGTTACAGCAAATCTGACATGGGGTAAAAGTGTTCATAAGGTAAAGTTCTATCAGCTCTGAAATTTTCAGATGAATCTAATAACCCATTGTTAGGTTGCTGCCACTAAATTGGTAATTTTAAGGAAATTTTGCAGTATTTGGTTATTGTCTTGAATAGTATTAATGATAAAGATAAACTGTAAACAGCAAATTCTTCAGCAAAGTAAGAACTACAAATAAGTTTATATGACCAAAATTGTCAATTGACCCCCTTAAAGAGTTATTGCCCTTTAAGGACAATTTTACACAATTTGTTTATCATGTTTTCTAACTTTAAAAAAAAATCTCTGAAACCACTGAACCAATTCCAACCAACTTAAGCTGAATGATCCTTAGGGTATCTAGAATAAAGTTTGTGTTTTATTTTCTGTTTCATCAAAAAACATGGCTACCATGGCTAAAATTAGAGCATAGGGGTAAAATGCAGTTTTTGGCTAATATATCTCAAACACTTAAGCAATTAGAGCAAATATGATGAGAGGTTAAAATGTTCATTAGGCCAAGTTCTATCAGCCATGAAATTTTCAGACGAATTTAACAGTCCATTGTTGGGTTGCTGCCACTAAATTGGTAATTTTAAGGAATTTTGCAGTTTTTGGTTATTATCTTGAATAGTATTAATGACAAAGATAAACTGTGTACAGCAAACACGTTCAACAAAGTAAGATCTATAAATAAGTTAATATGACCAAAATTGTCAAATGGGTCCTTAAGCAGTTATTGCCCTTTAAAGACAATTTTTCTCAATTTGTTCATCAAGTTTGCTTACTTTAAAAAATCTTCTCCTTTGAAACTGATGAATCAATTTCAGCCAAACTTGGGCTGAATGAGTTTCAGAGTATCTATTATAAATTTTGTATTTTATTTTCTTGTATGTCAAGAAACATAGCCACTTTGGCAAAATGGAACATAGGGGTAAAATGTATTTCTTTGCTTTTGAAGAAAATATGACAGATACAAAGAACATCTCAATGGAATTTTTAAGCCACTCATTAATATATATTAAAAAGCAAAAATAATCATTAATGAAAGATTTAAACAAAAAATTACAGGTGCGCAATTCAGGCTCTTGAGAGCCTCTTGTTTTGTTTTTAATGCTTCAAATACGCATTGTATTTTAGTCTCAAGTGGACATGAAGGTATATTGGAACATGGGTACACTGAAATTTGTGTGAAATGGATGGTTTGATATAGAGACTACAATGAACCCAGTAGACATTACTTTTGATAATGGCATGACATAAGGGACATACTATGTATTGCATGGTTCTATAATTTTGTAATAGTTCCATGAACGAGGTTGAACTTGTTGTTTCAATTCAGTTCTTTTTTAGCACATCTGGCTTTTCTCATCACTTGGTGTCCGTAGTTCTTTAACTTTTACAAAAATCTTCTCTGAACAAACTAATGAGCCAAATTTAACCAAACTTGGATACAATCATTAGTGGGGTATCTAGTTTAAAAAATGTGTCAGATATGCTAAAAATAGAACATAGGGGTGAAACGAAGTTTTGTCTATTCTCTTGAAAACCACTAGAAATTCTGACGGAGGCAGATTTTTGAGATCTTCCTGCTGTCCATACAGGTCAAAACTGTCAGATGATTTCTTATAGGAGTTATCACCCTTAGAATGTCAAATTTTACCATTTTTTTATTTTTGTCGAGCCTTCGACTTTTGTCGAAAAAGCGAGACATAGCGATCCTACATTCCGTCGTCGGCGTCGTCATTGTTGTCGTCGTCGGCGGCGTCAACAAATATTCACTCTGTGGTTAAAGTTTTTGAAATTTTAATAACTTTCTTAAACTATCCTGGATTTCTACCAAACTTGGACAGAAGCTTGTTTATGATCATAAGCTAGTATTCAAAAGTAAATTTTGTAAAAAAAAATCCATTTTATCCGTATTTTACTTATAAATGGACTTAGTTTTTCTACCAGGAAACATTACATTCACTCTGTGGTTAAAGTTTTTGAAATTTTAATAACTTTCTTAAACTGTCCTGGATTTCTACCACACTTGGACAGAAGCTTGTTTATGATTATAAGCTAGTATCTAGAAGGAAATTTTGTTAAAATTTTGTTCCATTTTTTCCGTATTTTACTTATAAATGGACTTAGTTTTTCTTCCAGTTAACATTACATACAGTCTGCAGTTTAAGTTTTTAAAACATTTATTAGATTCATAAACTATCCTGGATTTTTACCAAACTTGGACAGAAGCTACTTACAATCAAAAGATAGTATAGAGAGGAATATTTTTATTAATTTTTTCCCTCATTTTTGTTGAGCCTGCGATTAACAGCAAAAGTAGACGAGACACTAGGTTCCGCGGAACCCTTACGAATTTTTGTTTTGAAAACTATTATAGGTACAGAGAAATTTTTTGATGAAAAATGATAAGCAAGACAAGATTTACAAATGAGTCAAGTGGCTGAAATCATCAGACGTCTCCTAATTGGAGTTTTTGCTCTTAAATGATATTTTTTACCATTTTTTTTGTGTTTTTGACATATCTTAAAGAGTATTATAGATAGAAAGAAACTTTTAAGGAGTCGAAATGATCCAACAAGTAAAAAAAAATCACAATGACCGAAATTGTCAGTCGCTTCCTTATTGAAGTAACAGCGACACTTTTCACAAAAAATCTTAAGAGTAAAAATACTCCTAAGTCATACACATTTCAGTATTACTTACGATCAATTTTAATCGTAAGATTTTTTGTGAAAAGAGTCGCTGGCCTGTAATGATTATTTTTCCGAATTTTTTGCATTTTTGCCTATTATTTTGAAAACAATAAAAGATGAATAGAAAATTTATGAGCAAAAATGATCAGCATCACAAGGTCTACAAATAAGCCATCATGGCTGAAATCTTTAGTAGACTCATTATTGGAGTTATTTCCCTTTTAAGAGGTTTTTACCATTTTTTTTAGTTTTTATACGACCGCAAAAAAATTTTGTCTGGTGTCGTCGTCGTCATCGTCATCCGAAGACACATTGGTTTTCGCACTCTAACTTTAGTTTAAGTGAATGGATCTCTATTAAATTTTACCATAAGGTTCAATACCACAAAAGAAAGGTTGGGATTGATTTTGGAGGTTATGGTACCAACAGTTTAGGAATTAGGGGCCAAAAAGGGGCCAAAAATAGGCATTTTTGTAACTTCCAGACATAACTTGTGTGTTAGTGTATGGATCTCTCTGACATTGTTCCACAAGGTTCCATATCACAAAGGGAATGTTGGGATTGATTTTGGGGGTAATTGCCTCAAAATTTTAGGAATTAG